CAGCATTACCCTGATCCCCAAACCAGGCAAAGACCCTACCCAAAATGAGAATTTCAGACCAATATCACTGATGAATATGGATGCTAAGATTCTCAACAAGATCCTAGCAAACAGGATCCAACAGCACATTAAAAAGATTATCCACCATCACCAGGTGGGATTCATTCCTGAGGAGAGTGAGAAAGCATGAACGGAGGTGGGGAGGGAAGGGAGAGAGGGACTAGGAGATGCAGATTCCCCACTGAACAGGGAGCCTGATACCCACAGCCAGGACCCTGGGATCATGACCTGAACTGAAGGCAGACGCTTAATGAATGAGCCACCCAGGCATCCCATGGCCTGTACTGCTATAAACTTCCCTCTTAGAACACTTCGGCTGCATCCCAAAGATTTTGGACTATTGTGTTTTCATTTTCATTTGTTTCCATGTACTTTTTTCTTCTATTTCTTGATAGCTGATTTCATTGTTTATTAACATATTACTTAGCCTTCATGTATTTGTGATCTTTCCAGATTTTGTGTCATGGTTGACTTGTGGTTTCATAGCATTGTGGTCAGAAAAGATGCATGGTATGACTTCGATCTTCTTGAATTTGTTCAGGTTTGTTTTGTGGCCTAATATGTGATCTGTCTTTGAAATGTTTCACATGCACTTGAAATGAATGTGTATTCTACTGTTTAAAGATGGAATATTCTGAATGTATCTGTTAAATCCATTTCTTCCACTGTGTTATTTAAAACCATTGTTTTCTTGTTGATTTTCTGTTGAGATGACCTGTCCATTGATGTAAGTGGGGTATTAAAATCCCCTACTATTGTATTATTATCAATTAGTTCCTTAATATTTGTTATTAACTGTTCTGTGTGTTTGAGTGCAGATTGTTAGATCTTCTTGTTGGATTTATTAAATTTATATTTTTATATATATCTTTTGTCTTTCATTACAGCTTTTGCTTTAACGTCTATTTTGTCCACTGTGAGTTTTGCTACTCTGGCTTTATTTTGACATCCATTTGTATGATAAATATTTCTCCATCCTCTCACCTTTCTTTTTTAAAGATTTATTTATTTATTTATTTGACAGAGAGAGAGAGAGAGAGAGATCGATCGATCACAATTAGGCGGAGAGGCAGGCAGAGAGGGGGAAGCAGGCTCCCTACTGAGCAGAGAGTCCGATGTGGGGCTAGATCCCAGGACCCTGAGATCATGACCTGAGCTGAAGGCAGAGGCTTTAACCCACTGAGCCACCCAGGCGCCCTCCATCCTCTCACTTTTAATCTGTAGTTGTCTTTAAGTCTAAAATGAGTCTTTTGTAGGCAGCCTATAGATGGGTCTCTTTTTTTAAATCTATTCTGTCATTGTATGTCTTTTGATTAGAACATTTACTCCATTTACATTCAAAGTAATTATTGGTAAGTATTGTCATTTTATTTTGTGATTATTTCTGCAGACCTTTTATGATCATTTCTTTTCTTCCTTTCATGGTTTGCTGATTTTCTTTAGTGTTGTATTTGAGTTTCTTTCTCTTTATTCTTAGCATATTTATTAGTGATTTTTGATGGTTACCATTAGGTTGTTAATAGGATCTGCTGCATATAGTGGTCCATATTAAGTTGCTTGTTTAAATTTGATACCATTCTTTATTTCTCTCCTCCTGTTTGAGGTATATGCTGTTATGTTTTATATCTTTTTTATTTTGTGAGTTCTTTGATTTTTTTTACATAAATATTCATTTTTACTGCTTTTGTGTTTCCTACTTACCTACTGTTATTTCTGGTCTCTCCTTGCCACTCAGAGAGTCCCCTTTAATAGTTCTTTTTTTTTTTTTTTTTAAAGATTTTATTTGACAGAGAGAGAGATCACAAGTAGGCAGAGAGGCAGGCAGAGAGAGAGAGAGGGGAGGAAGCAGGCTCCCTGTGGAGCAGAGAGCCCGATGCAGGACTCAATCCCAGGACCCTGGGATCAAGACCTGAGCGGAAGGCAGAGGCTTTAACCCACTGAGCTACCCAGGCGCCCCCCCCCTTTAATAGTTCTTGGAGGGCTGGTTTAGTGGTCATGAATTCTGTTAGTTTTTCTGGGGGAGACTTTTTATTTCTCCTTCTGTTCTAAATGATTGCCTTGCTGCACAGAATATTGTTGGCTGCAGTTTCCCATTTAGCACTCTGAATATACTGTGCCATTCTCTCTGGCTTAGAAAGTTTCCACTGAAGAATTCCCTGATAGCCTTATGAGGTTTCCCTTGTATGTTACTGTCTTCTTTTGTCTTGCTACTTTAACATTTTTTTTCTGTATTGCTATATTTTGCCAGTTTAATTACAATATGTCTTAGTGTGGATCTGCTTTTGTTGATTTTGCTGGGGATCTCTGTGCCTCCTGGATTTGTATTTCTGTTTCCTCCCCAGATTAGGGAAGTTTTCAGCTATTATTTCTTCAAATAAATTTTTTGCCCTCTTTTCTCTTCCCCTGGAATTCCTATAATATAAATGTTATGAGGTTGGTGCAGTCACAGAGTTCCTTAAGTCTTCATTTTGCATATATATTTCTTTGTTCTTGTTCAGTTTGATTACCTTCAATTACTCTGTCTTCTAGGTCATTAATTCATTGCTCTGCTTTTTCTAACCTGCTGTTCATTGCATCAAGTGTGTTTCTAATCTTCATCTCTGATTTTTTTAAATCTCTGATGGGTTCTTTTTTTTTTTTTTATTTCCATGTTAAGAGTCTCACTGATGTCTTTGACTCTTTTCTCAAGTCCAGTGAATATCCTTATGATCATTGCTTTAAATACTCCATTAGGTATGTTACTTATATGTGTTTTGCTTAGATCTCTGGCCACGGCCTTTCTCTTCCTTCATTTGGAATAAATTTCTCTGTCTTCTCATTTTGTTTGAGTCATGGTGCCTGTTTCTCTGTGTTAGATAAGTCACCTATGGCTCCTGGTCCTTGAGGGTAGTGGCTTTATGAAAAAGAGGTTCTGTAGTGCCTTGCCATGTAGTGTTTCCTGTTCCCCAGGGCCTGGGGTTCCTAAGAGTGTCTCTGATATGTGCTATGTGTCCTCAGCTATTTTGTCCTGTCTGCTTTATCCTTTAGGCCAGTTGGCTATATAGGCTTCCTTTACCTGCTGTGGTTAGTGTTTTGTCCCTGGCCTGAATGTGGCAAGTTTTAACTAGGTATGCCCTGGTCGGCTTGTGTAAAAAGATCTGTTGTCACTGCCAGTGAAACTAAGGTTCTGCAAAACTCCCAGGTCAGGAGATGTGTTGTGAGCAGAGGTTTGGGCTGTTCTTCTGGGAGAAGGGGCCTGCCATGCTGGGACTGAGGCAAGCATGTCTAGGAAGGGTGGTTTTATAGGTGCATGGAGGCAGGGCTTGTGTAAGGAAGTTAGATAGCAAGTGTAGGAGTTGTGCTGGTTCCTGTAGGTGACCCCTTGTGCTTATGCTGAGGGTTGGGGAGGGAAGAGATGCCTGCTAGTTCCTTTGTTCCTGGAAGTCTCTCTGAATGCTATCTCTCTGGGATATGCTCCAAAATGAGCAAATAACCTCCCAACTGTGTGCCCCAGGTACTCTTCAGATTGCTGTTTTCAGTCTGTATGTCAGTGGACTATTTGCCTGTCTTCTGTCCAAGAGCAGTTCAGCTGTCATGGCTCTATCCAAGCCAAGTCCACTGACCTTTAGAACTCCATGTGCTGAGCCCAGCTTGTTATCAGAAGTCACAAAATTTGGCCACTCCACTCTCCAAGCCAATTGCTCTAGGGATTCTTTTTCTCCCTGTGCACCAGGGAGATCTTTTTAAACCAAGATTGGAAACTCAAAAGTTATGAAATAAATGACAGCACATTTGGTGATATGAAATCTTAACATTTTCACTATCACATATAAAAATAAATATATTTGCATAGTTTTTTTGCAATTCAGGTAATAAAGGAATAATACATATTTACAAATTGACATTAAGAAAACTGATTAAAGAAAAGTTGGTAAATCTGATCAATCAAATAATAAAGAAGCAAATATATATGGTCACCAACATGCAGAATTGCCAAAATTTACTAGTAGTCACTAGTCAGAAGAAAAATACAAAATAAAGTGATAATGAGGCCAAGCAAATTAAAAAGCTACTCTGTTGGTTGTGGTGGAGATAGGGAGAAAAGGTAGCAACATAATTTGACACTGCTCTTTGGGAAAGCAATCCAACATCAATTACAAAAATTTTCCGTACAGTGTGCATACATACTAATATGTATCACATGCACACATAATGCCCTTTGACTTCAATTTTACTCTTGTGACTCTATCTTGGAATAAACTGCCAACATGTGAAGCAATGGCCAGAGAATATTTTATTGTGCCATTGCTTGCAGAGTCAATAGAAAACAAAGGTAATGACCATTAATTAAGGTATGCTTGAAAAAGTTATGATAAGTGCAGACCATCTGCAGCTATGAAATAGAAGCAATAGAGCCATGTCAGATGTCTGGGGGGAAATTTCAAGAGGTGTTGAGTATTAAGATCAAATTGCAGAAAGGTGTATATATTCTGATTCTCTTGTTAAGCAAACAATAATAAAACTTCTATATTTGTATTTATATGATTATATGATGGAGAAAACTATAGAGGGGTATGTGTTAAGGGAAGGGACAGAAGGAAGGAAAAGGAGAGACAACTAAAACCTCACCCAGTGGTCTGTGTAACATCACCACACTTACTCATTTTTAGACAATGTATAGAGTTCCTATATATTATATGTAAGTTGTTTACAAAGTATGCATGTATAATAACTTCCAAAAAGTGAACTTGAAAACAGACTCACATAGTGCTTTTCTTGTGTACACCCTCTTTTAGATCATAGTTGTTCCCTGAAGGTAACCACACTCTTGAATGGCTAGGCTTAGCCACTTTGTTCATGCAGCTCTCTTCTGTGACCAAATGCAAAGTCTGTCAGGACACTGTCAGATGCTCCCCAGTTCATGTTCTAAACTTCTCTTTGTGATGCTTTCTTCAGCTCACCTGTGAGGTTATTCAGGCCCCTGTGCTTTTCCGGCATTGTTTTTGTGACTCTGACAGTTTTCCATATTGTGTTTTACATGTTTGTCATTATGCCATTATACCCAAGGGGATCTTAAGAACTCATATTTATAACGTTTACTTACAGTCATGTTCATCAACAGGAACTAGGTGGTTGCAAACAAAAGAAAAGAGTTGATTTATGGGTAATGTATATAATTATATTGGCCTTAGGATCCAGTTTTTTTCTACGTTTTATTTTACTTGTATGATATCTGAGAAACTTGATTTACTTTAGTAATGGTAGTAGTTAATAGCTTTTAAAAATAGCTTCTCTTGCAACTTCAAGATGTGTTTTAGTTATATTGACATAGAAGCTTAAAAAGAATTATAGGAAGTTTATTTCCAAGCTGAATAAAAATGTGACAGCTGCTCATTATTATCCTAAGTAGAAAAAGTCCCCAAATTTGCAAGAAACAGTAAAACTACATGAGGAGCTCAGGATAGATGGATATTATATCTTCATTTTTTTTGTTGTTGTTGCTGGACTGAATATCAACGCTGAAAGCATGTTGCAGTCAGATGTCCCTGAGCCTGCTCTGGTTTATAATTTAATTCAGCACATATGTGTTGCAGAAGCATGCTTGGTACTGTAGTTCTGTGAGCATGAACATAAAGAATGTAACAGTCTCTCAGAAGACAAGGATCACTAACATGATCACTGCAAGTCATACATATCCTTTTATAACAGTATCAAGAGAAACTTTATTTCAGGTTTTATACAAGTAGAAACTAACCTGATTATGAAGGGTAGTAGTTTCAGGGACTTCTATATATAAAACATTGAGGTTTGTACCCCTGTGATTATGACTCATGCTTCATTAACGGATTTTATTTTCTTTTATTACTTTTGAAGATTTTATTTATTGCAGAGAGAAAGTAAGAGTATGAGAAGTGGGAAGGGTCAGAGGGAGAAGCCGACTTCCTGCTGAGCAGGGATCCTGACTCGGGACTTGATCCTGGGACTCTAGAAACATGACCTGAACTGAAGGCAGACACTTACTTAACTGACTGAGCCACTGAGGTGCCCCTATTTTGTTATATCTTAATGATTTTATTTATTTGACAGTGTGCAAGAGTGTACAATCGGGGGTTGGGGGGTGGGGCAGGTACTGTGGTATAACACAGGGAGAGGGAGAAGCAGACTCCCTGCTGGGCAGGGAGCAGGCTATTCCAGGACCCTGAGATCATGACCTGAGACCAAGGCAGATGCTTAAGTAACTGAGCCACCCAGGTGCCCCTCATTACAGATTTTAAAATAAATATATTACAAAAAACTATGGGAGCCTTGAAATTTCGTTGCTGCACTTTGGAGCTTTGTTGAACATGATTTGATAACATTACACTGTGGTATGTGGACAAAATGTCATTAGAAACAGCATTTTGGATTTGGAGGATTTTATTTTCCAGGTTTTATTGGTTGTATAGTAAAAAAGTTTATGCTGATAAAAGCTATTTTCTGGTTTCCCTAGGATCTGGCTTGTTCTAGATTGACCATATTTCCACAGCTTAAATATCTTTTTTTTTTTTTTTAAGATTTTTTTTTTTTAATTTGAGAGAGAGAGAGAGAGAGAGAGACAGCAAGAGAGAGCATGAGAGGGGAGAAGGTCAGAGGGAGAAGCAGACTCCCTGAGGAGGTGGGAGCCCAATGCAGGACTTGATCCAGGGACTCCAGGATCATGACCTGAGCCGAAGGCAGTTACTCAACCTACTGAGCCACCCAGGTGCCCCACAGCTTAAATATCTTAATTTCAAAAGAGAACATTGATTGGAAAAAGTTTTGGGATATAACATATGTTAAAAAACAAGTGTGAATTAAAGACTGAGCTAACTTTTTAAGTCAACATAAATATAATATGAAAAAAAATTAAAGTAGCTGTGTTTTTTTTTGAGATCAGGTTTCCTGAAATATAATTTTGTAAAGTCCTATTTAGTGATATAAGCACATTAAGTATATTTTACTTACTCCTACAACAGGAGGTATGATTTGCATATTTTTTTAAGTTGCAAAGAATTAACACCATTCAATAACATGTGCTGTCATTTTTCCAGAATTTTTTTCTTAATCTGAAGATAGAGGAGTATGGTAACCTCACAGTCACTTAACAGGACCTGTGATATGTTCACAGAAACCCAAATTCCAGAATGGGTTCTTAAAAAAGATCTTTCAGCTTGAACTGTTTACTCTGGTTGTGCCTTTCTTTTTAGTGTTTCCCGGGAGTATCTCCTCCTCAGTCATAAATGACCTTGTATTGTGAAATTTGAGATTTTTTTTCACATTAATTAGCTTTTGACAGTATTATTGGATATCTTTGTTGGATATCTTTGTTGGATCTAGTTTGGACTGCTGTGCTATCAGTGTCCAGCCATTATCAGCCTGCTAGAATTGCACTCATCACAGGCTATAATTTTGAATTCTTGTTTTCTCTCCTTTTAAAAGATTCTTTTAGAACAGTCTTAGTGTTCAGTGTTTCTTTTTTCTTTTTCTTTTCTTTTCTTTTTTTTTTTTTTTAGATTTTATTTATTTATTTGACAGAGAGAGAGAGATCACAAGTAGGCAGAGAGGCAGGCAGAGAGAGAGGGGGAAGCAGGATCCCCGCTGAGCAGAGAGCCCGAGGCGGGGCTCGATCCCAGGACCCTGGGATCATGACCCAAGCTGAAGGCAGAGGCTTTAACCCACTGAGCCAACCAGGTGCTCTGTGTTCAGTGTTTCTGATGTTTGTATTCCTGGATAATCTGTATTTAGTTTGGGTGTAATTTTTAAGATTTACACTGAATTTTCTAAACTGCTACTTTGATTATCTCATCCTCTTCTTAAAATCTTTCATGGGATCCCTATTATCTTCAGGATAAAATTCAAACTTTTAAGCTTGCAGGACTGCTGCTCACAATAAAGTTGGTGGTGTCAGCTTAAGGAGTCGATTTCCAACAGTTTGTCCAAGCTCTGGGGCTGCTTTTGGTGGTGGGTGTGTCTCCAGTTCACTTAGAGGCATCATATGGGCTAACAGAGCCTTTATGTAAGGCTGTTCATCTGGCTTCTGCTTTCTTTTTAACTCTATGCTTTCTTCTTTCTTTCAACACCATAGAGGTGTCTGTTGTCCTGTTATCTGAAACTACTTGAGGTTCTCCAGATGTACTCTATTCTATGGTACCTTTCTTATAATAATTATTAGAGCCAACATTTGTTAAACACTAATGCAAATACTTCATTGCATTATCTTACATAGTCCTTACTAAATGAGGGTAGGTCTCTTATTGCCCTCATTAAACACAGCTGAGGAAGTGTTCAGTGGTTCATCCAGGGTAACATAGCTGTAAAGTGGCTGAGTCAGGATTTGAACCCAGGCTATGATGATTGGACTCAGTTTTTCTTTCTTTCTTTTATTTTTTGAAATATAATTGACATGTAACATTATATTGGTTGTAGGTGTACAAAATGACATGTATACATTGAGAAATGATCAGCACTTTAAGTCTAGTTACCACTACAAGTAGTTTCTTTTCTTACAATGGGAACTTTTCAGATCTGTTCTCTTTCAAATATACAATATATTATTATTAGCTGTAATCACCATGCTATACAGCATACCCTCAGGGCTTATATATTTATCACTGGAAGTTTGTCTCTTTTGACCATCTTCACCCATTTCATTCACCCCCTACCCTTGGCAACCACCAGTCTGTTCTCAGAGATAAGTTGGGTTTACTTTTTAGATTCCTCAAATATGTGAGATTATATGGTATTTGTCTTTTTCTGACTTACTTCACTTAACATAATGCTCTCAAGTTCCACCTGTGTTGTCACAAATGGCAAGATTTTATTCTTTATGTCTGAATAATATTTGATTGTGTATATACCACATTTTCTTTCTCCATCATCCACTGATGGACACTTAGACTGTTTCTGTGTCTTGGCTATTACAAATAATGCTGCTGTGAGCATGGGGGTACAGATCTCTTTTCGACTTAATGGAGGAGTATTCTTGGAAGACAGACTGAGAGGTTAGAACTATCAGCAAAGAGAGAATGGGAAGGTAGTGGTTTCCGGTTGGAAACCTGGAGACTCTTCCTAAAGCCACTCCTCCTACTGTCTCTGCCAAAAGTACTTGATGAAGCAGGAACAAAATAACTTTTTCTCTGCTTTGTGATGAATCATTCAAGTGTACACCCTAACCATTGGGTCCAAATACTCTCACCAAGGTGGTTTCCTATCCAGAAGACCTAGATATTTCCAACTTCCCTTTAGTTTCATTTCTGCCAAATTCTTAAGGCCAGGGGCTAATCCACTAGAACAGTATTATCCTGTAGCTTGGTTTTTAATTGTGTTCTGAATTTAGTTTATATTCCTAAATGGTCTTACACGTTTTTTTCTCTCCATGCCCTCAGAGGAAGTTATGTGCTTCTGAACCTCTTGGGTACCATTTTAGTAAATTAAGAATTCAGCACACTGAATGATACCCCTGTGGCTTGAACGAGTTAATACAAGCTTCTTAAGTATCTTAATAATTCCCAGGGAATAATTTATGCATTGGAGTGTAGCTTAGTATCTAGTCACTTATACATTATGGAATTTTTTTCCCCTTTGGAAAGTAAAATTGAACCTTTGAAAAACAAATGAGGATGGAGCTTAAATTAAAAAATCCTGTTTTGTAAAAAAATGTAAACATGAAACATTTAGGTGAGAGAGGAGGTATTGTTATAATAGTGAAAATGAAGCAGGTTCAAATCCCAGTTCAGCCCTGTACTTTTATGAGACCTTGGTAGATTAACCCTCTCTGTATTTTTCTCATCTCTGAAGTGGGGATAATGCTTACATCAGAGACAGCATGGAACAGTGGGTTAAGCACTTAGTGCACCTGGGTTATGCCCTAAAATTGGGTCAATTCCTGGTTTCACTACTTGATAGCTATGTGACCTTATGCTTAATTAAACTCTGATTTGTAAGAACTCAGTAGTGAAACATTTTTTTCATTATTCACC